AGTCCAGAGCCCTTAGTGCTGTTAGGCAGTACTGGAATAGCTAGGATAACCATGTGGACTGTTAGGAATTTATTTGCACTAGCCCCTTCCCATACTATACTTTCTAGAGAAAGTAGTCCTGTGCCTTTGAGTGAATGGGAGCTGTGGTATATGCTAGCATTTCCCTCATTTGGATAAATGGGATCTGGGGGAACACCTCAACAATTAAGGCCTATGCAGCCAATGAGGCTGATGCAGAGGTCCAGAATGCTGTCACCAGAGAAATAAATTTTCTCTACAATTTTGCCCTGTAGCCCTATCAAAGCATTTTCTTCTGTAACAGCAAGAATGTATAAAAGGCTATTAGAAAAAAAACATGGGATAAAGGGTGCTGTGGAAATGCAGGCCAAACAATGACCAGTTACAGGAATGCCCATCATAAGAAAGTGTAAGTCACCATTTTGTGAGAAAAAAAGTATAATATAATCTGTCCAGAACTAACAAGAAGATGTGGGATATGGCGAGGAGACTTAATATGGAGGTTAGAAATAAATGTATAGAAATGGGGGCAGAGTTTAGAGGACTATGTCAAGTAGCTCAAAGAATAATCAGTGAAGTAAAATACAATCATCCTATACCAATAAGTGGCAGAGTGCTGTCTCATAAGCTTGCTGATGAGACACCTGTCTGTAAATTTGTTCCTGTTTAAAGATATTAAATATGTCAATAAAAACCTGTTATTGTCTCATCTGACTATATCAAGGAAGGGAACATACCCCTGACAGATGCTTTAAATAGTAAACTCAAAATGTGCAGTAATCTACATCGTAGTAAAACATATGTAATATCTGTGATATTTGGACTTCAAAGAATGAGAGCATGTTGGGAAAAATGTGCTTGTTTGTTCTTGTGTTGAGTTTAAGCTGCGGTTTGCAGCTGTGGATTTGGTGTGGAAGTCATGATTGTGCTTCTGATTCTGAACCTGTCTTCCTTTCCGGGAAGCAGCATTGAGCCGTATTACTAGAGCAGATTACTTTGCCTCTGGATATTGTCCTGATAGAGCTGACTGAAATGATTTTGCCAGTGAAGAAGAATGAAGGTTGCAAAGAGGAGTCAGAATTTGCCCAAAATAACTCTCTGTGTAGAGAAAGGCTGAACAGTTTGACTGCTCTTAGTGCTGCAGGGTTTTGAGTTAAAAGAGAATGTTATTTTTTTATTCCATGACTTTTCTTGTCAGATACTCTTTGTCACAGGTTTTGTTCTCATATAATTTCAGCGCCAGATTTTCAATAGTCTCTAACACATCTAGTAAGATTTTCAATAACTACCTCTGAGTATACTCCATTTGAGAAATTTCTCCATTCAAATATCTCCATTTGGGTTCAATGTCTCCTACATTCAGAAATCCTTTGTAAGCTGTTACAACTCTGACCTCAAGCTTAGTTAAAGATATATCTCTACAAGACTCAAGGAAATTATGTGGTTACCCTCCTCTTTGTCTCTAAAAGCCTACCTCAGTGATTATTTGCCAAGTATACAGCTTTAATTTGTGCTCATTCTGCAGGACTCCTCATCTGACTCAGATACAGTGTCCTAGTTGAGGTGTGAAGCTTTCAGGATCTCCTGGAAGGAAGGACTTCTTAAGCTAAACACAGGCGTGGAAAATGTAAAATAATAGAAAAGTATCAAAAAATGATGAGATGAGAGGTCATTGACAAATAATAGCTCCAGCCTGTCAATTATTAAGTCAGAAGAGACCCTGCATGAAGTTAAAGGTCTATCCACAACAGTAGCAACAAATATTCTCAAAGGGAGGGAGTTAAGGTCGTATGTGTACTTTTTGCTTGTCCAGTATTTCGTCCTTATAATAGTATTATATGGAAGGTCTGATAAAACATCAGAGAAGCCTTAAAACCTTTAATGTAGACTCAAAAAACTAAAAATCCTTTTTAAAATATTTTTTTTTATTGTAGCATACTCATTTTTGTATTGCTCTGAAGCATGTGCAGTATCGTCAAAGTATTCATTATCTGTAATAAACTCAGCTCCTTGAAAAACTGAAAGAACGCAAAGACATGCAGCTGAAGGACAGCTGTGCTATTAAAGTTATGGATTTTGTCATATTTAGGCAGCTTATGTATGCTTTCCTCTGCTTTACATCAGTCTTAATTAGACTTCTCTATTCCATTTTGTCTTCTCCATTTCCCTCCTTGCTTTTGTCTCCTCCATTTTCCTCCTTGCTTTTGTCTCCTGTCACAAAGCTGAAGTTCTGTGTTACCAGTTCATCTCTTTTCCATACCTCTGGATGGTACATGTGTTCAGAGACCCAGGCCAAAACCAACAGATTTATCACAGTTTTAATGACAGCTGGCTGCATGCTGAGTGAATTCTTAAATTCCCCAAAACTACTTTTTTTGCCAAAACATGTGGAGTTGCAGCATTCAGCATTTTACCGGGACTGTTATCTTCAAATGAAGAATGACTCCACTGGAAAAAAATTATTTGCTATCAGCTGCAGACCTATTTTTAGCTCCTTATTTGGTGAAACTTCAGAAAACATAATTAGCCATATGTTGAGAGTTGTTCTCCAAGTCTTAAATTCAATTTTTGCAAACCACATTTAAGTATTACCTTGTCCACAACTTTGCACTGTTGGAATCGGAAGGCATGGGTTTTTTTGATGAGAATGTGATTCTTCATATTCCTTTGGGTAAATATTTGTGTTTATGAAGGGAAGTACTAAAGACTGAAGTCTTCCATTTGTTTATATGGGAAGGTCTGTGAAGGCAACAGTACTGGCATCATCCCCTGCTTCTGTCACTTGTGAACTTCAAGCCTTGCATTGGGGTGATGGAGTTCTCAGAAGCTGAAGTAGAGCAGGTCAGAAACATTCATTCTCTCCCACAAGTATTTGTAATAAAAACAGAACAAGATTACTTTAATCAAAAACATGTACTAAAAATGTTAAAGTTTTGTCAAAAATTAGAGTTTCTACACAAAAACATTTTTTTCCTGAAGAAAAAATAAATAAACTGTCAAATTTCAAATTGGATTAAAAGAAATTGAAATATTAAATTGTATCTGTCTAAGTCTTGGTATGGAATTAGTCAGGTGCCTGATGATACCATTGTCCTCTGAACCAGAATTCCTATTTAGACTACTTTTCCCATAATACAATTACAGTTTCTCCTCCAGGAAGTTTTGTGTGAAATGAAGTTCAGTTTTTGCTGCCCAGAAAAGGCAGTTTGGACTGTGTGAATTGGATGAATGTCACCTTTCTGTTTCTATTCATGGAAGAAAAACAAAACTTTTTTGGTATAAAAATGGTAGGACTGGATTTTTATTTTTCTAGCCGAAGGAGGTTTTCTTTGGTTCCTTTCTGATTACAGTGGTCTGTTTCCAACTTCTCATTCTTTCATAAAGCTGCCAAATATAAGAAAGGCAAGATTTCTTACATCATCATGGTCCATATCATGGACAGAGCAGAACTGTAAGAAAGCTAGAATGAGGCAGGAGAGGAGCATCTGGGACAGTTCCACACTGTTGGCTGGCCTAACAAAGCTAGCAATAAAAGTAAGGCTTCTGCAGCCTTTGTGCTCTCTGTCCTAGCTGTGCTGAAAGTAAATTCAAGGTAACTGAAAGTCAGGCCTCTTGGCTGTAATCATTTAAAGACTAGTCCCACATATTAGTATTGATTGCAAGCTATGATCTACCTGTTCGATCTTACTTTCACTGACTTGTTTAGCTTGCTCTTTTTTTGTTGACCTCATTGCCACTTGAAATGCAGACCGTTTAGATTGCTGATAATCTGTTTCTAGTATGGTTAAAGAAAGAGAAATAATGCTACTAAAACCATTTATTGATATGATTGAGAACTTGGATGTCACCTTTAATTTCTGTTGGATCTTGATGAACAGGATGTTCTCAGTACTAGAACTTTTGCCTTTTGCAGCTCATAGTGCTTAAGAAAGGGAGTTTCTGAGCCTTTACATGAAGATAAATACATGGTTTTCTGAGGCACCTTAATCAATAGTAATCCATTGAGATGAATCGCAAGATTACTTCAAATTGTTTCATAACTGTCTCATGGCTCAATATTGAGTTAATAACATCACCCTGTATGATATAGTACAATAGAATACAGGGATCTAAGTATCCAGAATAGCAAAAGCGTTTTGAGGAAAAACCTGGTGTACTTAATCCAATTTTGCTGAGTATTGACATCAATTGAGTTGCTTTATAAAATTTGCAAAGCACAGATAGTATGTAGGGTTATGTTTTTCCTTTATTGGTTCCATTAATATCTATGAATAATGGCTTCCCATGTGGTAATCTAATTACAGTTTGAAATAATTGGTGAACTGGGACAGTGTCATAGATCAAGGAGGAAATTAATAAAAGGAGGGTAAAGATGAATTATATGGGGCATGGGAGCCTAACTAGGAATAATAGTTAGGAGATAATGAAATTAAAGAAAAAAATTCCATTGAAGACCAGTGACATCTAGACAGGAGGTTGTGTTAAGTAGTAGAACTTGCAGCTCTATCACATGCATTATTTAAAACTGAACTGTACAAACAGGAGGAAATGGACTGCAGGGAACCAGTTCTTCCCTGGCAAAGAGGTGGACTAAGTCACCTAATGTCTGATTTCCACTGCTAGTGCCTATAAGTCTGTTTGAATAGATACTTGGAATTCTGTGCGTCTTCTAGCATCACTTCGACTTCTTTTGTATCTGGCAGCAGGAGATCATTATCCTGTAAAAGTGCTTGACAATAAATAGCTTCATTTTCAGTTTTTTTTACTGGATAAATTTAAATCTTAGGATATGTAGAGCCAAATTGTGCCTACTTGCTTATTTGCAACAACAAGAAGGAAAGAACTCAGAAAACTGCTTGTCCTGTGGATCACAAAAATACGCTTACATTGGCCAGCAGTGCAGGGGTTTTCAAATAGTGGGAAATAAGCAATGCCTTCACTGATTTTGAATTCTAACTGTCTGCACTTTGTGTCGTTTATAGACAATCTGAAAGGAAAGATAACCCAGAGGCACATTCAGAAGGCAGCTCTAGGTAAGAGTAAAACCTTTCATATGCAGTAGGTTACAGTGGGGGCAACAAGCTTTCTCCCAGGGCTGAATCTGCTTGTGGAGCAGGTTGTTTTTCTATGATAGTTTTTGCCACAATATTTATACAACAGTCCATTCCATAAAGAATGTGGACTCTGTGAACTTTGCCAGAAATCTGGCTCAAAAGGTATCTTATGGTGTGTGTGGTATGAAGAAAAATGCAAATGTCTTATAGTTTTGGGGATTTGGTATTGTCTTGCCTTCCTTACACTGTGACCAAAACAAGAACAGAGACATCTAAGCTCACCTAATTTTTAGGTTTTTGGTTGTTTTGTTGTGGGTTTTTTTCACTTTCTGATGACTCTAATTTGAATTCCAATTAATAGACCTTGATTTGTCCTGAGACTGAACTTCTATCCATGTTGCCACAATCTGTCTAACATCCTTTTTAATTTTTCTCATTCCAAAAAAGACTGAAGTCATATACAGGTCATTTCTTTTGCATCTAGTTATAGGAGTTCAGAAGTTATTTCTTGCAGTTTCTGTTGACTCAGCTGTGGAGCTAAAAGTGTCTATGTAAGTTGTTCACATAAGTGTAAAGTCATCCAAATTTGGTTTAAGATGCTTTAAGCTGACTCCACTGACTTTGTACTCAAACAGCCTAGGAGTGTTCATATGAGAATTCCACTTTTGGGACAGTAAATTTCATCTAAAATGTGACAGAAAACTACTTGGGCAATAACAGTTTAAGCCCCCCTGACTTTAAATCCGTAAAAGAATCCCAAAATATGCCTTCACAGACCTTCTTCACATAAAAAATGGAGTTAACTCAGACCAGATTGCAGTTGATGGTTTTATTTCTATGTATATGTAGTACATGAACAATATTTGTCTCTTAATGAGAGAAAGAAAATTTGAGGGCTTTCTTATCTCCCTAAAGTCAGGAAAATAAGTTACAGCAGAGTAGTAAAAAATAGTTTCCCATTTCTCTTTCTAATTTAGACATGCATCTCAAGCTCTGTTGATGATGTTCTTATTTTATTTTAAAATCAGCATTTAAAATTAATACTGTCTATGTCAATAAAGCCCAGGAGTCAAACACTGGTTAGTTTTATCAGTATGAGAAGGGGAAGTGAAGGAGGTGCTGATCTTCCTGTATCCAGTGACAGGACCCAGGAATGGTTTAAAGCTCTATTGGGAAAGGTTCAGACTAGATATTAGGAAACATTTCTTTACCAAGAAGGTGGTCAAACACTGGAACAGGCTTCCTCAAGAAGCGGTTGGTGCCACAAGCCTGACAATATTTAAGAAGCATTTTGACAATGTCCTTAAGAACATACTTTAACTTTTATGCAGCCCTGAAGTGATCAGGCAATTGGACTAGATCATAGAATCATAGAATCAGAATAGTTAGGGTTGGAAAGGACCTTAAGATCATCTAGTTCCAAACCCCCTGCCATGGGCAGGGACACCTCACACTAAACCATGTCACCCAAGGCTCTGTCCAACCTGGCCTTGAACACTGCCAGGGATGGAGCATTCACAACTTCCCTGGGCAACCCGTTCCAGTCCCTCACCACCCTTACAGTAAAGAACTTCTTCCTTATATCCAATCTAAACTTCCCTTGTTTTAAGTTTGAACCCATTACCCCTTGTCCTATCACTACAGTCCCTAAATTAGATGTTTGTTATAGGTCATGTCTGACAGTTCTGTTCTAGTCTAGTCTAGTCTAGTCTAATTATCTCAAGTTAAATCTAAAGTGATATCTTCAGTACAAAATGGAATTCTGTCTTTAATTCACTCCAGGTTTTAATACCATTTACCAATTTTATGCCACTTCAAGAAGTTCCATCAAGACAAATCATAGCAACGCTATTTATGAAAATTCCTATTCAGTGTTTCAAAAAATGAAGTGATGTATTCTGATTGTATGTTTCATTCTGCATGATAACAAGGTCTTGTATACTGATTTCTTACTACATAGAAAAAATGTTGCAAATGCCATTTTCAATAACTGTTTAAGCTGCTTTTCATAAAATATGTAAGCATCTTTTTGTAAATATTCTGTTAGTATTCCACAACATAGCTGGCAAGCCATGTGTTTTTGCCTTTTGTTTTGAGCATTGCTATCTACTTATCATCACTAAGTCTGGACCTCACAAAGTATTTTCCAGACTTTTTTCCCCCTTTCGTTATTCTTTTAAATTCTCTGGATATTTTAACTTAATATTTATTCTAAGAGTTGGGGAGTATTATTTGCCTGCCTGCCTTTTTTGATGAATGTTCTTCCAAGGAGTAACAGGTGTCAAGTCTCCCAGTATCTTCTTGATGACCAGAATGTCAGCAAGATATTTTTAAATGAAACCAGCCTAATTAAGAGTCTGTTGAAATCCCAGCATGAAATAAAACATACCATTGTTTCAATTAGAAACCAAGTTAACATCTTCCAGGTGCCTTTTTTCTTTTTTTTCTTTTTTTCTTTTTTTTTTAACTTAAAGGTTTTTATGGTTTAAACTCTTTAAGCAGTTATTCTAGTTCGATTTTAAACAGTGTAGACCTGTTCATCTTCTGGCTGTGCTTAAGATGTGGATTTCTTATTGAAGGAAAGCTCCACTGTTTAGCCCACTGTGCTTAGCTGTCTCTTTTAAAACACCATATGCTGGGAGTTAGCAAAGGACACAAATAGATGGGAGGTTTCATTGGAGCAAGGTGGTACTCCATGTGTTTCAGTACACAAACATTGAATACTTGGTGTAAAATGTCAAGGATTAACTCTCAGTGACTTTAATCTTCATTAATTGTAAGACCACTGTTGAGTACCAACAGAGCAAAAACATTAGGTTGCCATCATACCTCTGGATGGAAAAGATGGAATAAAATAGTGGAAAGAAAAGCTTTCCCTGGGGTTTCAAATAGAAAAAAGAGACATGGTTCATATGATTCTAATCAAGCATTACTGTAATATGTTTTAAACAAGCATTTCTGTAAAATACAGGACCTGATTCTTCATCGTCTTACTGCAGTTTGGCATTGATAGAGTATGATTACAGTCAGTCAGGCTAATGCAACATTATTCACCAGGACAGGGGGAAGACTTAATCCTAATTTGGACCTGCCTTATGACATTAAAATCCTATGACATATTGTAATGGGAAGATGCTTCTATGGGGATGCAGCTAGCAAAAGTATGTTTTGTACAATAGCTTTCTGTAAGAGACACAATTGTACTGATACTTGCACAGTATTGCCTATTCAACTATGTCTTTGTCTTGAGCAGAAGCCTCTGTTGGGTCAGCTCTGGAAGTTAGGGAGTACTCTTGAACATACTCCTGTCTGACCTGTCCATATCAGCAGAAATGTTTAGTCAGTCTGCAAGTCCCTCAGGCTGTTCAGTCAGCTTCAAACACATCCTGACAAAGCTTCATGCACAGAAGGTCACTTATTATGTGCAGTCTGAAATGTGTTTTCTAAATTGACAATAGTGGTGCAGCCAGTGGTGCAGCATCTTCAGCACAGCATGACCTCGTTATAGGTAATTGCAGTTACTTCATAGGCTTAGTTGAAATGCAGTTTTGCAGCTTTCCATTTCAAATATTTTTCTTATTCACCTTGTTCTCTGTGAGCCTCCCTTCTCTTTTTACAGAAGTTTTGAATTCTAGGCTAGTGGCACCTATCAGTTCTTTTGAGATTGTCCTGAAAACATCAAGAGATGGCAAAACCTCTCTGCTTTTGGAGAGGTTTGTTGGGACCAAATTAATCTCTTTCTGTCCAAATGCATCGTCTCTGAAGGGCTATTCGAAAAGGAAAAAAAAATCCAATCTAACATGGGTAAAGATAGCAAATATGGGTCTTCGTAAGAAAATTGCATCCTTGATTTGGATTTCAGCATTAATGCCCAGTTTTATCAATGTTTCATTAAAAAAAAAAAATACAGTATTTTCCAAGGTTTTGTAACTTCCACACTGCTGCTTTCCATCAGAGTAAATCTCTTATTTGAATAATTCCATATTTAAATAAAATGGGCACAGTTTCTTTCACTGCTTTACATCTTGTAACTGAGATGACATTTAACTTCACATGAACTGTGAAGCGGGAGTGTCTTGATCTCTACCAACACCATGAATTGAAGAAATGCAAATGTTTTCAACCACAAAATGACAGAAGCTGAGGAAAGTGGCAGTCTGTGTTTTACCACATAAACCCAACACAATCCATGAAGAATAATAGAAGGCCAGTTTTAAGACCATTGTTCCTGGTGCTGAGAAATTTTATCTCATGTATGGGCTAAATAAAGCACTTTAGAGAAATAATTGATTTGAAGTCCAGAATTGTAAGTTTTTTACATTTTTCACAAGAGATAAAGCAATATGTCACCAGTGCTGCTAGGCATCCAAAGATGCTTCCCCTAAAGCTATGGTGGGTTCATGTATTTCCAGCCTGTAAAATACGTTACATCTAGCCAAATAAAAAAGGAAAAAAAAGAAAAAAAAAGCAGTGTAGTCAGTCTGCAATGACTTCAGAATAAAGGAAAGATTTCTCTTAGAAACTCATCATTTTGATATACCCAGTGTTTCTATGTGTTATGTTCCTCTATATATTTGTGCATGAAATGTCAAGCAACAGCAGTGTTTTTCTGCATGCAAAGCACTGATTTTATTGATAGGGTGACCTCTAGCGGTATCAAGGCCACTCTTTGCCATAATATGTTTTATTTCTTGAGTCTTTCTATTTCAAAGGAAAAAAAAACAAGAAAAACAAAACAAACAAACAACAATAACAACAAAAAAAAAACACACAAAAAAAAAAACCCACCCCAGAAATATTTTGCGTTAAAGTTTACTTTCAGAATTTTGAGACAGACAGAAAGCTGGTATGATTGTGTATTTTAAAAAGGATGATAATTTTTCAGTATTGCTAAGGCAAAGATATCAATAGCGAAACTGGTTGCAAATTCAGACACCAGTGCCTTTTTGTCTTTTTTAGATAGGAGAGTCACTCTGACA